ACACTTATAATCCCAGCAGTTTGGGAGGCTGAGGTAGGAGGATCATGAGTTCAAAACCAGCCTTAGGGCTGGGGATGTGCCTCAAGCTGTAACTCGATATCCTGGCATATGCGGGACACTGGGTTCGATCTTCAGCACCACGTATAAATAAAATAAAGATGTTGTGTCCACCAAAAACTAAAAAATTAATATTAAAAAATTCCCTCTCTCTCTCTCAAAACAAACAAACAAACAAACAAACAAACAAACAGCCTTAGCAACATAGCAAGGCCCAAAGCTACTTAGACCCTGGTCCCAAAATAAAAAAATAAAAAGGGCTGTTGATGTGGCTCAGTGGTTGAGTACTCCTAGGTTCGATCCCTGGTAACAACAATAACAACAAAAATCAGGGGAGTGTGGTACCATGATAGTCAAGAGAAATAAAATATCTAGGTGGGAATGAGCCATTACTTTGGATGTTTCTGAGAGTTCTAGGAAGGCTGGGACAGAAATGTGTTTGTTAGATTTAGCAGTTCAGATATGATGGGTTGTTTCAATGGAGGAGTAGGAAAAGAAGCCAGATTAGGATGATTATCATGAAGGGATCTTATATGTATGAAATATTATATAATCAATTAAAGAGAAAAGAGTGAACAGGAGAGGAGGAAGAAATGGTAGTTGATGTAGACCCATCAGTCTTCAGGCTGGGGTGTTTGTATACATTGGTGTTCATGAAGATTTTCCAGTGGTATATGGGAACCATGCAGGCAGTTTCAACTTTTCACCTTCCACTTGTCATTTTCTACATTTTATTATTTTTTATTTTTTAAAAATATTTATTGTTTAGTTGTAGTTGGACACGATACTTTTATTTATTATGTAGTGCTGAGGATTGAACCCAGGGCCTTGCACATGCTAGGCGAGTGTTCTACCACTGAGCCACAACCCCAGCCCCATCATTTTCTGCATTTTAGTTGGTTGAGAATATCTGTGAGTTTTTCTATCTCCTTTTACAATTGTACTCTAACTTCATTCGTTCTTCAGCTCTCAAGTATTCCTGAGGAAATGTTAAAAGACTTGTAGACTTGGTCAGAATTCCTATTCCCTTACAGTACTGTGGATGTTTTCTTCTTATCAGTTTTCACATATGAATTGTAGTTATTTAAAAAAAATATGTTCACTATTGACATGACAAATGCTTGAGTCCTTTCATGGTGTTACAGATTATTTTGGGTGTTTGGAAGTCTGCAGGAACAAAAAAGGGAAAAAAATCCATAGTAGAGGGGAGGCAAATATTTGGAGTCAGATTGGTAGGAAAACAGGTTTTATTCAAGCCAGCTTTGAAGGAAGATAGAAGAAATTTTATGTTTCAAATTTCCATCTTCAGAAAATTGAAGGATCAGGAAAGCTTTTTGTTGGGAAAACATATAATGGCGGCAGCACCCCAGAGAAAAACCCCAACATGGCGCCTAACGACCTTCTCCTTTTTTTTTTTCTTTCACTGGCGCACCCCCCTCCCCCTCCCCAATGTTCAAACCCTGCTGGTGGGAAGCCTTAGCCCCAATTAGAATTAACTTCTTGGGCTCCGGAACTGACATATGGAAGAGTTTGCCAATAAACGGTCGACCTGTTATCTACCTCAGCCCTGCTACCTCTCCTTAGACCTATATAAACACACAACCTTTTATAATAAAGTGGAACCTCTTCCGTGATCTGTGTCGTGTGGTGCGGTGTCTTCCAGTTTTACACTTTTTATAAGAGGCAGCAAACTAGGACATAAGGAAGGAAATAGATATGCAGATTTAAGTTAGCCTGTGCTAGACAGGCCAGAGCAGAGAAGTAGTTCCTAGTCTCTTAACTTCATGAGTTCCTTCTCTGGACTTGGGATCTCAGTGGTGGAGGATGGGGGGCAGTCTTTTAGGCTTTATTCTCAGTATGAGAAAATATGGCATGCAGGAAAAAAGTTATCAGGAAGTTGCCCTTAATTTCAGAGGGGGTCTTCATTTTAGTTTGTTTTAGTATCATCACAGTTAATAAACCTAATAATGTAGAAGAAACATTTGAGCCATGACTAGGAGAAGATGAAGTTTATCCTTTGCATTTGTGTGAAAAAAGAGTTCAGGCAGCCTGTGCAAAGGTCTCAGGGGAACTGTAGCATGCCCAGCATATTTGAGGAGCAGCAAGGAGTCCTTTGTGACTGAAGCATAGTAATTAGGGAAGATTGATAAGGCATGAGATTTTATAAGCTACCAAGAAGACTTTGGCTCTACTTTAAGTCGTAATGGGGAGCCAAGACAAGGTTTTGAGCACAGGAGTAACAAGGTCAAATTTATGTTTAAAAAGTTCTCTGTTTAGAATATTATTGCAGTGGAGGACAAGCTCAGGAGGAGGAGGTTGATTAAAAGTTTTTGTTTTTGTTTTTTTAAAGTAACATGCTGGTTGGTAGTGTTGTCAGAAACTTGGTATTTGTCCCCCGTACCAATCTAATAATGAGGACATGGTTTTAAGAAAAAGGAAAAAGTTGTTTGATTACTTTTCTAGCAAAGAAGAAGCACAGGGGACTCCTTGTCATGGAGGTTGTGATTCTGCCCATCAGGGAACAGGGGGTTTTAAATAGGTGATTCGAAGGCTACATATGTGTTCTTTCAGAGTTGTAGTTCACTTGTTAATCTGGGAGCTAGTCATTTCTGAGATCTTCTGGTGCTGTCCCCAAAGTCTAAGTTAATTTGATCCTGTGGTGAGTGTGTGCTCAATGACAGATAACTCCGCTGAGGATGGGGAAGAAAGGTAATTCTGTTTCTGCTGAGATTGGGTGGGTTTGAATTGGGGGAGAAGAGAGAAAGAAAATGTGTCCTTTTAAAAATAAGTTACAGTGGCAGAGCAGCAAGGGCTACTCAAAGCATAAAGTGGATCATTGTTATAGTAGCAGTGAAAATGGCAAGAAATTCTTAGATTTTTGCAATGTTTTCAAGACAGAGTTAACTAGATAGGTTTCTTGATGACTTGAGAGAGAATGGAAGACATGAATAAGACTCAGGTTTTAGGCCAAAGCAACTGGAGCAGCTTTGGAGGTATCATCAATTTAGTCTTGGGCATGTAAAAAGTGTTTAAAATGTTTGTTAAACTTGCAAGTGGGATACTTAGTTAATTATTTAGGACTGGAATTAGGGAAAGGGATAGTAGAAGGGGTGGGGTCTGTTAATACAGGTTGATTATCCCTTAAATGCTTGGGATCAAAAGTTTTTTAGATTTTGGAGTTTTTCAGATTTTGGCACATTCATAATAGACTTCATCAATTGAGTACCTCTAATATGAAAATCTAAAATCATAAATGCTCTGAACTTGAAACTTGAGCATTACTGTTTTCACTCAAAAGTTTTGGATTTCAGTTTTCCAGGTTAGGGAATGCTCAAACATGTAAGATTTGGGGTATAGTGTTAGCAGGCAGAAGAGACGTGTAGGTGTTTAGGAATTACTGGTGTTTAATCTGTTGACTGTTTATAATTTAGGACTTCTGTGAGTTCATTAAGACAGTTTTTTTTTTTTTTAAGAAAAGGTAACTCAGTAAAGTTGCAGATATACATATATATATATATATATATATATAAATATACACACACATATATATAAATAATTATATGTATTTATATATATTTATTTTTTAGTTGGACAGAATATTTTTATTTTATTTATTTATTTTTATGTGCGCTGAGGATCAAACCCAGGGCCTCGGACATGCTAGACGAGGGTTTAGGAGACCCCCAGTGTTCTAAAGTGTTTCATTTTTTTTTCTACCACTGAGCCACAATCTCAGCCCCAGAAGTTATACTTTGATTTCTCAAACCATTCTTTCTACTCAAGCAAGAATGAATAAATTAGGTGAAATGTATAACTAAAATATTATCCATCCTTTTTATAATGCTTAATTCAGATGAGACTATTCATCTCTGTATTCCCTGGGGTCACTAGAGGTTGCCCTGGATACTTAGGAAATGTTGACCCTTTAACTCAGAGACATTCACAGAATCTGACAAGGGAAATGCCTCAGGTGGTCTGGTAACTTCAGAGTGACCCTTGAAGACATTTACATCTTCCTTCCAGTCCTGAACTCTATAGGTTTTGGGTCAGGGCTGGGAAAAGCAAAGCCTTGTGGGTTGGGGGAGATAAATGCTGAGGTTAAAAAAAGATCTGTGTTTTTCTGACATTTTCTAAACCTGAACTATTTAGGAAACATGTTCAACAGTCTTATCTTTTTCTTTCTACCTATAGCCCCACCCAAGAGATTTTCATCATTAGGTACCCAGGTAGTTGTTAACTCTGAGACTGAATACTAAGGAAAGGATGTTGTCAACCCAGATATTTTCAATACTTTGTGCAGTGCAGACTGTTTGAAATAGCTTTCATTTTCTCCTGTAAGAAAGGGAACTTTTCTAATTTTTGGATCATTTGGAGTTCTGATTATAGGTCTTAGAGTCAAGTGAAAGATAGACATACCACCCTGGTAATCTGCTATAGTTTCAGCTATTGTAGGAACTGGCATTGGTGTGACCAATTTTATTTTTATTTTTTATAAATATTTTTTATAGTTGTAGTTGGACACAATACCTTTATTTTATTTATTTATCTTTATGTGGCGCTGAGGATCGAACCCCGGGCCCCACATGTGCGAGGTGAGCACTCTACCAGTGAGCCACAACTCCAGCTCCCCCCCCCCCTTTTAAAAAATACTTTTTAGTTGAAGTTGGACACAATATCTTTATTTTATTTATTTATCTTTATGTAGGGTGTGACCAGTTTTAAATAACCAAATGTTCAGGGTCAGATATTCTTCTGTGGCTTCATGATTGGATTAGACTGAACGTAGTCTGGATTCCCTGATCAAGGATTGGTCTTTCAGAAATAAGGCAGATACTGACAAGGTTAGAGTAATTATCTTTTACATACACCTGCCCCTCGCTTCCCTTTTAAAAAGACCATAGTGGGGAGGAGGGTACTCATTCTCCTTTGCTTCTCTTATATAGGAGATACACCGGAGGTTTGAAAATGCTCCTGATTCTGCCAAGACCAAGGCTCTGCAAACTGTTATTGAGATGAAGGTAAGTAAGAGCCTAATAAATCTCATAAAGAATCTTATCAGTCATGGTTTCAAGTGTGAGTCTTAGAAAATAGTTGCTAATAATATTTCACTCACCTGTGAGATTGATAGGACATTTTAAGACTTAATAAAATAATGTCTTAGAATAATTCCAATTTTCTTTCAGTTGTAGGCCATAATTCAAATCAGACCAAAAAATTTTTTCTTTTGTCTTCACATCAACTGTTCTCTAAATTTTTGATTGGCTCAAGACCCAATACCTCCCTTAATGTGACAGGCTCACATCTTCTTTTTAAAGAAAATGCCTGCCAAATAGTGAGTTTCAGTAACCACAAATTGTCAGTCATTCCTTGAAGTAAAAATTGTGTTCCATGAAAAAAGTACCCAGTTCAGCTCACAACTCAGGACAACCACAAGTCCTATTGCTAGGGACAACTGTCATATTTCATTATACAGCAGAAGTGCTTCATGCCTGCCCCTATTTTGTCACATGAAATATGAAAAAGGTGCATACTTGAGGGTTGAGATTTATTAAAAGCACTTTTTTTTTTACTGCTTAACCAAGAACATTCTTATAAAATGTTGTTTCTTTTTAATTTATTTTTCTGTGAATGTTTGCCACTGAAGAATATAATGATTCACAGAGTGCTTTTGTGCCATTGCCTTGATTTGTGCTAAGGCACTAACAGTTTTGCTCACTGTTGCTTTTATACCTTTAGTGCAATTGTTAATGTGGTGGAAAAGTCAAACATTACCACAGAAATAGTTTTGATCCTGCAGACTCTGTGAATGGGTTTAGGAGACCCCCAGTGTTCTAAAGTGTTAAAAACTCTGCTTTAAACAAATGAATAATTCACAGACTTTAGGCCATACAGAATGGTGACTGGGAGCTTGCTTTCTGAGTTAAACTCCCTGAATTCAAATCTAAGTGTAATAGTTGTGTGCTATGGAGCACTTAGCCTCTATGCCTCAGTTTCTCTCTCTCTCTCTCTCTCTCTCTCTCTCTCTCTCTCTCTCTCACTCACTCACTCACTCATATGTGTGGAGTGAAACTAGGGCCTTACACATGCTAGGTAAGTGCTTTTACTCCTGAGCTACAACCCCAGTACATTTTATTTTTTATTTTGAGTTGCCCAGGCTGGGCTTGAATTTGTAATTCTCCTGTCTCAATTTCCAGAGTAGTTGGTATTACAGGTGTGCACCACCCCATCTGACTTTAATTTCTTTATTGATAAATGGTGATAAGAGTCTAATCCAGTGGATTGTTTTAAGATTTAAATTAGTTAAAACATGTAAAACACTTTGAATAGGACCTTGCGCATAGTAAACATATAATCTGTATTATCTGTTTCTGCTGATATTAACTGTGTTCTGTTTTATGAAGGTTTTAATATAGGGATTTATCTCCCTCCCCTTTAAGTTGTTTGTATCCCTCAAAAAGCTCCAGATTGTGTTTTGCTTGTGGACTTTGATTCAATAAGAATACTTAGATACTGATATATGAATAATTTTATGTAAATAGATACTTCTCAAAATCAGTTATAAGAATTGTTCTCATAATTTGGATAATTTCCTCTTAAAACTTTGTTTATATTATATATAATATAAACTAAATATTTTTTAAAAAATATTTTTTAGTTATACATGGACACAATATCTTTATTTTTTTAAATGTATTTCTTACAGACATGACAACAGTGGAGTGCATTACATTCATAATTATCCATTTACACCACCATTTTTCATAACTCTGAATATAAAGTATGTTCATGCCAAATTATGCTATTATAATGAGCTCTTATTATTATTATTTTTGCATTACAATTCTTAATACACCTTCATACTACAATTTATCATATCTCTGTTTGTATACAAGGTATGTTGACACCACACATCTTCATACATGTATTTTGTATGTGGTACTGAGGATCGAAACTAGTGCCTCACACATGGGAGGCAAGTGCTCTACCGCTGAGCCATACCCCAGCTGCCTATATCTTTATTCTGAATGGTGAAATGGTTTACCACTTCAAATGAGTGATTTCTGGGATAGTTATTATAATTAGCAGTCTTGAATACAATCCTGTAAGAGCCTTTAGAATGGTTTAATTGCATGGTTTTACCTTATTCACATTCACCACACATTTATTTTGCATGTTGTTTCCTGATCCCTGTTGATACCTGAGAACAAAACATGAATGTACCTATTTACATAATTGTTCTTTTACTCATATTTTGACAAAACAGGGAAATGTAATTGTATTAGTTAGCAGTGAGTCTGTTTTAAGTGTGTTAACCTTGTGTTGAGATACAAGAGATTCTGGTGGACCAAAGGGGTCAAGTGTCTGTTATGCTGAACTCATAACCAAAATAGCTGAGTTCCTGAGAATGCGGCATGAGCTTGGGAGAATTATGAAGACCTGGGATAGTCTTTGGGGAAATAGGAGAAAGAATGATCCACAGTGAAACAACTCAGTAATCATCAAGGGAGTATGGTTTTCTCTTCTTCTTCTTTTTCCTTTATTATCCCTTGTCTACCCGCTTTCTTCCTTTCCTCCTTTATTTCTCTGCCCCCTTCCTATTTTCTGCCTCGTTTTATTTCTCTACCTTTTTCTTTTTCTTTCTTTTTCCTTCACTAGTAGAGGGTCAAGGAAGAATTACTGTATTGCCCTAGGGTCTGAGTTTCACTGGGTAGATAGAGCAGAATGATTGGGATGCAAATGAATTGAGGGTGATAAGAAGTCCTGGACTATACCCTATATATGGAAGAAAGAAGATTCACATGAACTCACAGTTTGGAGAAAATGTGAATGTTAGGGAAGTGAGGTTGAAGACAATAAATATCCAGGGCAAGGGTGTGTCAGGCCTGGGAAGAGAGGGCTGAGTGATGATGGGATTGGATCCAGTGTATGGTCCTGTAAACTTATAGCTAAAATGGACTGGAAGATGAGGTTATTGAAGTTGTGGCTCTCAAGGATTTCTTACATTGAAATCCTAGGGTGATGTTTGACAACAGTGGCAATTAAAGGAAAGGCTGTGAACTTGTGCCAAAGACTTCATAAATCCACGGGAGTGTTTGAGAAGTCCCTAGATGGCAGTGTGAGGAGGATGGAGTGAAAAGGGACCTGCATATGAAGGAAACAGCATGATGGAGCCAAGAGAATGCTAACCCTTTACCCAGGCCCTTTGTGGAGCAGAGAGATTATTGGAGAGAGTTTAGGGAAATTATATCCTTTGGGAAAGCCAGATTTTACTTGGAACAGGGAGACAACCTTTGAAAGTTGAGGTCCTGGGGAATTTTGCAAGAAGTAGAGTATTTCATCAGGCCCAGTAGTGTTGTTTGATCAATGATGAGCCAGGGCCAGGGAAATAGAGCATGGGAAGGCAAAAATATTTATTTAGTTATTACACATTCTAGGAGTGAGAAATCTGTTTGGAGTAACTACCCTCAAATAAATCCAGACTTGGTACCATTTGAGTATTAGGCATTACTTTTCTCATCTGATTTCAGACAACAGCTTGGCAGATTCTTTTTCTGGATAGCCAGTGTCTGCCTCATAATTTTTAGAGCTGCAATTTCTTTCTGGGAAGTAGCTTTTATGATGGCATGCTTTGGTAGCCAGGGTGCTGATTTGGTCAAGAGCTGCCTTTCTGTCATTGTTTTGGGAGGTTAGGGGAGAGGATGGATAAAGTGTTTTGGCCAGGGCCATGTAGAGGCTTTGTACAGGTAGGATCTGCCATGTGATGTGCAAAGCTGGATTTCTTAACCTAGGGCTCTGTTGTCTTTTGTGGAGCCCTAGTTTTGCTAGAAAAGTGCCTGCCTGCCCCTCCCTTCCTCTCTCCCCCCCTCCCTCCTTCCCTCTCCCCCTCTCCC